ATCATTAGAACTATTGTCAAAAATAAAAGTCAATAACACCTAAATAAAGCTACCTTACATATTATTAAACTTCCAAAAAACACAAGAAATGTCTTTACCATTTAATGACTGCAAAATGTAGAAATTAGCAGTAACACTAGTAATAAAGAATTAATCTAATGTACCGGTATCTGTTGTACATCTGACAGATTGAATGCTATTGTCACTGTTTCATTAAGATCATCATTAGTATTGCAGGTGCCATTACATCTGACAGTTGAAGATATGACTGGTGATATAAGCTCATCATCATTTGTAGGAGAAAGGACTGATAGGTCTTCATATACAAAGGATGCTACTGTAGCTGGTAGAGCAGTGAATATTTTAGTTGGTAGTGTTAGAGTGTTGCCATTATATTCTATTGTGGAGACCTCTTCATCAGGTAAATCTTGAATCTGTTTAACATTTATAGCTACAAGCAATGGACAGTATTAGATGTGATTTATAGGTTCTTACAGATACTATCAGTAGAAAGGGATAAGTTCTGTCCTATATTAAGTGCAAAACTATCCAGTGTTATTAATAGCTGACTAGCAATAGAGACACCATCCTATGTCATTCATACAATTGATATTATGTCACATGATTAATCATACCGTCATATTTGAAACCTTCTGTATTATTTCAACAGCTATATCAAGCACTACCTGTAATGGAAATGTTTTAATTGTAAACCATTAATTTATAAGTACATGCTTTGTTTTGCAGGCAATGATGCATATGTATAATCAACTATACATACCTGTGTTGTCTCATTATCTAACTCCATAGTGCTGTTTGTGATAATGAAGTCCAGTAATACAATGCTTTGAGCTGCTGGAAAGTCATTCAGTTGTTCTGATAATGCTTCAAGAGCAACATAATGCGATACATTAATCTACAAGTTAAAGGTATGTCAATAATGAAGGCAGTGTTTGTTTGCAACACATATTAAATTACTTTTGACATTATTTCTCTGAATTGCTTACTAGCACTGCAGTTAATTTGACCCCAACTTCCATTAAAGTCACAATATCTTGTAGCTAAATAGAAAATATATTGGTTAATTTATCATAAACACTAACCATTAAATGTTCCTTTATGACAAGTACCATATGCCCAATGTCCAGGCTTAGTGCTTTCCCATTCATTATTAGTTCCTGGGCAATTCATTAAAGATGGAGAGGGAGAATTATGTAACAATTGAAGTTGTAGGCATTGATGTTATATGATC